AGCTCAACATTATCTGGTCTTCTCTGTCTATGACAGTTTAACACAGCCAGCTAACTGGTATCTAAATATTGTTCAGATAATCAGACAGCACCATTTTCCACTCCAGGAGTCCCTAACCTCCATTGTTTTTTTCCACGAGAGGAACGTCGCCTTCCATGGATATTTTTTAGTTACCAGGGTCTCTGTGAAGGAAACTGCTTGCCATTCTTCAGTTGTCTCTGTCAGTGCATGTTTGCGATTGTAAATTGTTCCCTTCTTGCTCTCTTCCTTATTCAGGACACCTAGAAACTTACAGTTGGCTGCTTGTTTTTATTTCAAACAACAGTCAACAGCAACATTTACATATATAGTGTGACCAGCTGGATACTGGTCTTCTATTTATCCTTTGCTCATTGCATGACACATTACTTTGCACCCAGGCCTTGCAGAACAAGTGAGGGCCCTCCCAGAACAAGGGAAAGCCCTCCCTAAATAGAAAGAGGAAATTTTAATGCACATTTAAATGTTCCCTTTTCTTTCTACAGTTGTCTCCTCTATATGCGGGAACGGGGCATTTGACAGAGTGTGTATTTGCAGAAATTTGAGACTCAGACTCTACGGTACATACTTCTTGGGCATACTCTTAAGATTGCTCCCAGTAGAACAGAATAGCAAGAAAGAAAAGATACTTTTAAATTATCTTAATTTTTGTGGTATATAAGGAGTCCAATTATTATAGCAAGAAAGAAATCCCCTGCCTACCATGTGTGGACCTTTCTCAGCATTTCAATCTATGACAAACATTCAGTCCTTTGTTCTCCTGTACAGGCCTATGTATTCATTGCTAAGCCTAAGCACTTTATATAAAAGGCTTAGCTATAAATAGATTTAGGTCTAAGCCATTGCTCATAAAGATACCACTTCTATTTGTTCTTCATTCTTGCTTGAAGCTTTATCATCACAGTCTGGGAGCTGCCACATTATTTAGAGCTGGTATACAATCTGATTTCTGCTGTACGTTTTCCATGACTCCCATGGCTCCAGGATATATTTTTCAATTTACATTTAAGGAGCTGCTGACTCCTACATTTCCAGTATTTCCCTTTTATTCTTTTTATTAATAAATCATAAATACTGCTGGCTGACATGATGCATAAGTTAATTTTGGCCTACCAACAGACTGCATATGCTGACCCAGAGAAAAGTCATAAACAGATACATTACTTGACCTGATTCAAGTTTTTTCAAAATGTTATCTCAATCGATAGTTCTTCCTATAAAGTTTGGTCCTGCAAACTGTTAATTACCTTTTGTGCAATTAAATGCAGCAAAAGAACTCAACCAGAACTCGAAGACTAATCATATCAAAGACCACCCAATCACACATAAGCTGCCAGTCAATACAGCCAGGTGTAGGATAATTTGGATCTTCAAATCAGAGGTTTTGCCTCTCCCTCCCCCCACACCGTGATCTTGATATTCAGTACATTTCTATTCTCTCTTGTTTAGATATCAGTGGTTTAAAACAAAACAAAATAAAAAACTAAAACATTGTAGTTGTATTTGAGAAAAATACCATACAAACAGATCTGCAGTCTAGAGTTTTCTCTTTACTGACACGTGCTAGTCCTTTCTTCTGCCTTAGCCTCTCCTATACACCAATGCGTCCAGCTCAAAGAAGAAACGCAAACAGGCTCTGGTTTTTAGTTCCGCAACATACGAAGAGTAAGCCTAACACAAAGCACGTTTTAGAGATACTACTAAGCAAGCAGCACCAGAACTCAGGGAGAGGCCAGACAGAGAGGAACAAAGTCACAGGTGATCAAAATGTTGTGAACTTAAATGCCAGGGAGGGTCATAGCCATGTCAGCTGTGATGGGGAAAGTTGGGCAAAAAGGAAAGTAAGAAGTGAAAAAGCTGGAAGCAGGGAGGAGAGAGGTTCATCTTCTAGTCTAGTTTAAGAAAACAGGGGCACAGCAAGGGAGATATTTTAGATATACAGCCAAAAATTCCCTCAAGTCACTACTGACCTGAAACCAATTTGAACCAGCGACCTAGAGGTGACTACCTTACACTTTCTACTGCCAGTCCCCTAAGCTAGCTAGTCCATCATTTTCTGCTTTCTAGCACTGATCAGTTTTTCTTCTGTGTTTTGGATTCCTTTTAATATTTTCTAGGATTTGATTTTATTTTCTGTAAAGTTATTTTTGTCCCATTTCCCTAGTCCTTGCAGTCTCTTGCACAGCTTATTTTTAATCTCTTTTCATTGTTTTTTTGTTGTTGATTTTGATTTCTTTCACTGCAGATAGCATGAAATGTTCATGTATCTTTTCAGCCTTCCTTTCTGATAGACAAAGCAGCTTAACTAGAACAGCAAATATGATTCTGCTCAAACAGGATCCCTTGATCGCAGCGAATCATTCAGGAAATGCTATGAATGTCCTTTGTTTTCTGGAAGTATTTACACCGAATTAGATAGGACTGGTTTATGAGCTCCCAGCTACGTACCCTATCTTAATGGCCTTTTCATTCAATAAAGGAAGGAGATGCCTACTTTCCTTTTCTTACTGCTCCCTTGCTTCAGCCTGTCTTTTGGTCATAGATATACTTTGAGATGGGTTTTTTTTTTTTTTTCGCAAAAACATTTCCCCAGAAACTCAGGTCACCTGAAGAAAACTAGCAGCAAGGGAAGGGCTCTTTCAGCTGTTTCTATTATTCTCAAATAGAACTTACCAAAGGAGAATATGCTTTCTGCCCACTGCCCAGAGGTTAAATCCTGTGGACCACTGAGGATCCATGAAACAACAGATAGGAACCTCCAGAGGACTGTATTGTTCTTAACCACTTAATGCGGGGAACATAAAGCTTGAACCCATACCTTTGTTCCCCTTCTATAGGCTAGAAAAATCTTTTTGACTTAAGTGCAAAACAGAACTGTAGTAGCTACAATCTGAACTAGTTCATTTAAAATCTGTACCATATATATCATCAACTTAAACAGTAGCACATAGTTGTATTAGGTACCATAGTGACAGTATTGTCAGTGGGCTGCACTCCAGACCCAGGCATACCAAATAGCTTTTATAATAACTTTTTCAGTTATATGCCTTTGGCACTGTTTGGAACAAAGGGAGGTTTGCCACAGAAATGCTCCCAAGATATTATTCCTGAAAGCCCCCTCAGTGAAAAGTGTCTCTTCTCTGGTTTATCAGAATTAGGAGAGCATGTTTGCCTTTTAGTCAATAAAGAATATTTGGTCTCACTTTGCAACGTATGCAAATCCTCAAATCCCTCTTATTCCTTGCCTAGACATATTCATTTGAAATGGAGTGGACATAAATCATTCCGTATGCCACAGAGTATTCATTCTGCCTTCATTCTAGACAGCACAGAGAGTGTTCAGAGAAGGAGTTTATCAGGATGTGCAGTTATAGTGGTCTCACAGCCATTTCAGCATCTTCAGTGACTATTGCCTTCAGGCTGAGACAGGCAACAGAACCCAGACCATGGACAACCGAATCCTAATGAATAACACTTCATCACTCTAGCACACGATTCTCTATGCTGGGGATGAGATTTGGAGTCTCAGTATATATTTCAGTTATGCTACTGTTGCAATGTAATTTTGTGTCTGAAGGTATTGTAAGTAAAGTAGGTCATATGGCACTGATGACTTTTAGGATTGTCTTCAGCTACTGTATTGACTTTACTTCTGCATTTTAAAAAAGTGGAAAGCAGAAGGATCAAGGAAATGCATTCATGGATGTCTATCTGGCACTAGTTTTCAGTATTGGGACCTATTTTTTTTCCTGCAGAAAATGCTTGTACAGAAGCAAAGTGATAATTGCATGTGTTAATGAATATACAAGAAAATATTCAAGTATTTAATATTCACAGGAGGATATTTTGCTTATGAAAGGTTATGTACATTTTTTTAGGCCAAGAAAAAAAAAAGGCATTTGTAATTCAGTTCCTATTGATACTGTGTAATTAACTCCCAATAATTTATTTACAGTATTCTATGAGACTCCATTTTTTGTGCATTTTGCAAACAGTACTAATGCTCTTCACGCGCCCTAGCATTAACTGTTGTTTTCCATTTTATCGCTGGCAAATTTGATGCAATTGTTAGAGCTCCAATCTTAGCTCTTCAGAGCAAAGGGGCTTAGAGTATTGTTTAAAATAAAGACAGAGTTCACTATCCAGATGTGTGCGCCTTTGTTTTCAGTTAAGACATGTACTTGGGGGGTTGGGTTTGGGGGTGGGGTGGGGCAGAGAGCAGGGAGAATAGCTGTTTCACCTATCTACTTATATTAAGGAGCTTAATGTCTTCTTATAACTACCCAAAGAGAAAGGCAGTGACAATACCCTCCAGTCTCAAAGAGCTTTAACTCAGTCCACAACAATACTGTACAAAAGACTTTGCAATGATTTCCATTGAATGTTGTCTGAAATGAATGGGGAAAGATACTCAATATACTGATATTTAGGGCAACTTTATAAAGGAGCTGAAATCCAGTCTTTTAAATTATGCCTGCTATTTTCTGAATATAAGCCTTTGTTCCCTCTATCTGCACATGTGAGATGAGATTTTCAGCATAACTCCAGATTTTGAGCAGCACAGCCTTGTGAAGGGGCTCATGCTCCTAAAGTTCTTCAGTGCCCTTTGAAAATCCTGCCCTTACTTAACTGCACTCTCAAAAGTTGGAATATTTACAAATAGCTAGCAATGTTTCTGCACACAAATACAACCTTTGATGAAGCAAAAATGATTAAGAGCCAAAACGCAGATGGAGATTTAGAGGGTGTTCAATTATTTTATCTTTCATGGCTCCATCATAAGTATTTTCTGGGACTACTGATCATTAAAGCAAATGATTAGGAGGATGGTTTCAAAGGCATAAAACCTTATCACCAGATTTTATACCTTTGAATACTTCTCTTAGTTTATCCCAGTCTCACAGGGATCAGTCTTATATCAATTCTGAATTTTGGCACAGCCTTCCTCTCTCTAATTATAGGATGAAGGGAAATGCAGGCCCCTAGAAGTAACAAAGTTGGAAGGAGCGGAAATTGGTGTTGACACCAGTCTGGGTAAACCATTTGTTTTTAAGTGCATACCTCAAAGTGGAAACAGGATTTTCTACTTCTGTGCAACTTCTAACCAAGAAATGAAGAGGTAAGTGATCTTTCATTTTACAAGGTCAGTTTTATTATTTCAAGTTTGGGGAGAGAGGGAGTTTAAATTTTTGGCATGTGTTCACAAGCTCTATCTTAATCAATAGGAAATAAACCCTGTCAGCTACTTTTGGGAAAGTTGTTGTTTCTGATTTTCATTTGCAGAAGTCTCAAAAACTATTTTTCAGATTCATAGTTTATCTTTTTTTTTTTAAATGAGAAAAGAAATAGCTTTCTCGTCACGTCTTTAACATTCATGTTCTGTTCAAGCTTGAACAGAGCCTGAATACTTTATTTCAGTGATCTCCAGGAAAAAAAAAAAAAAAAGAAATCTCCTCCCATATTCTCATTCCTTTGCCCCCATTTCTTTATTCAGATGAACTGTACATCTTCCTGTGGATCTAAGCATGCTTATCTGTCATTTCACACCAATAGTCTATCTTTTGCCCAGGAAAGACTGCACAAGTAATAAATGCAATCCCATCTTCCACTTCCCTTTCTGTCATGCTGTCACATTATTATTTTTGCATTTTAAAACAGACAGCCCAGAAAAGCATATTGGCTCTGACAATGGGAAAAGTGTTTGGGCTTGTCTCAGAGTTAGACAGACTTTAAAATTATTCTTTCTCCATTTCCGTAAGACCATAGCTGACTTAAACAGGAGACACCAAAACCAGGCAAAACACAGGTAACAGCTTTTTA